CAGACGATGGATCATAAAACCGCCCGTCGACTTACGTGCAGATTTTTTTCTATATTGGGTATATTGATGCACATTTTGATGCTCGAAGGTGTTCATAAGAGACAGTCTCTTTTTTCCAAAAACTGGAACAGCTTAACGCCGTTACTAATGGGGTCCCTAGGGTCGTTCTTGCCAATCAAGTCCTTCCATCTATCAATGTTTGCTCCATCATGTGAATTGAAATCAACTATTAGAATGAGGAACCTCGTAGTTGCCACTTGGAACAGAGCACCTTCTATGTCCTCCTCGAAGGACTCATATTCTTCCTCTGAATTTGCCGCGTAGACCTGTAACAAGATCAAAGCATTAGCCTTTTGTAGCCTCAGTCAGAGGATTTCCAGTCTTTCGCAGACAGGCTTCCATTCAGTGATTTTGTCAGCGACGTAAGGTTCTATCAAAACACCGACGCTACTTTCATAGTGAGTCATAGAGTCGATGTCTGAGTAGAATGGCTTCCACCCGTAAGGGCTCGGAATACGTTAGGTTTAGTGCTTCGTTGACGAGAGTTCAGGTATATACAATTAGTGATGGCATCAACCATGTCCTGCTGTTTCATTCTCAGTGAGTGTAAGCACTCACTGTCAGTCATATCATTGCCGTATAATCTTATCTAACGTGCTACAGTGGCATCGTGCGATCTGCCTTCTTCATTCAGAACGGCAAACGACTCTGTTACTGACTGGTCCTCTCATCGATCTTTGTTAGCAGTCTTCAGACTGCTGCACCCACAGCGATCAGAAGGCGTAAAGCTGGTTTTGATCCCTGAATTTTTTTGTTTGTCTCAGTTCTGCAGTGATCATCGCTTTGTAACCAACGCGATGATCGAATTGCCGTAGCGTTCGATATGCTTAACGATAACCTAGCCACCGTCCTCAGCCCTCCTCCTTTCCAATGCTGGCTTTGGACCAGCAAAGACACAGTTAAAGCTGCAGTTAGTGATTAATAATTCTGTCATTTCGCATGCTTCTTTCTTTGGACTACGGCTCTACAGCGTTCGTCAAAGTCATTTTATCGAAGGATTTTAGCTGTTTGGTATAATTTCTCGAAGATTATTGCAGTTCTACCCGACTGCTTGACAGCAATGTGACAGATGACAGCAGTTTCACTTTGTCTTACTTATTAACAGGTATTTGCCATCCTTCTCTCATGCCACGTTTCATCCTTCTCTTTATAGCTGACAGTGGAGATTTATAAATTTTTTGGCTGCATATTTCTTGGCTATACCGTCAGCATATCGAATTGACTTCATTTAGTAATATGAAAAACGAAACGAAATCTGCTCAGTAAGTGAAGGCAAATCTTTATGGGAGATTAGCTCTGATCAGTAATAATAGTCAAAAGATAAATTGAATCAAATGAATAAATTGAATACGGAAAATGAGTACTGCTTATTACAAGGTAATTGGAGTATAACGGTAATTGCTATGCGCACTTCTTGTAATTAACGTTTTCACGTTAAGTTCTAAATTTCACCGTGTTTACCTCATGAAATTCTCTCTATCAATAAGCTAGGGTGTGACGTAGCGAGCAGGAGGAAGCGACAGAAATAGCGCGTTACGTAACAGAGCGTAATGCGGTGTTATGCCTGTTTCTCACCTACGCAACTAGTGTCAAGGTCCGTCAGTAGATCCATTGTTGTCGGTTAACAAGACAGCCGCGCTTGACGTTTGGTGAGTTCAAGATTTCTGTGAAGGCAATCCCGTGTGGAAGGAGGTAGTTAAACTACAAACTCAACAAAATATTTTGAGTCACCCTCTGTATTAATCTGAAATTAGTGCATAGCGAAATTCTGCATCATGTCGTCTTCTCTCTGAGCAGCGACTGATGATTCATGAGCAAGTCAAGTCAATGTTCTTAAAGTTGCCTAACAGACCGTATCAAAAAATGGAATATTCATTTGCGGGGGGGGCATTTTTGGTTGCTGCTGAGGTCGTTTGCAAATGCTCATTCGCTTGGAGCTGATAACAAATGGACAGAAAAATAAGTTGTGCATACAACTTAGATGGCGAGGGTGTTTATGGTTAGGTGATAAAGTTTCAAAAATTTCCGTATTCCAAGAAAAGAATAACATTTATCATCTTTTAACAAGTGATATCGAATTTGCGCGGCAAATATTGTAGAGATGCCTACAGTCATGCTGAGGAAGTGTCAGACGAATGGCCACCAATACAATGAGTTGTACCCCTGCATTGCCGAGCCCCTTTATTTCTAGTCCTCTAGGGACACGATTTAAGCAGACCACGCATCTATGGTATTTAAGCAACTGCAGTGTACAGGGCGCAAAACCGCACCACTGGGTTTGGGGAACAAAAGTTCAGGCACAAACAAAATTGCCACTATTTATTCGCATATTTAAAGAAAATCTAAATGAAACGTCGATATCCTGGGCAACATCGCAACGTTTGCAGACGGCGGAAGCAGAAGGCAACCATTCTTGGTAGCTGCCCAAGATTATCGTCTTATATTTTGATTTTCTATATATCTGCGAATGGATAGTGGCGATTTTGTTGGCTCGAACATGGTTTTGTTCAGGCAATCTCTGTGGCTGAAATGCCATGGAGCCGTGGCCTGCGTAAACGGTTTCGTCAACGACTGGATACAAGGGTACAGTTACTTTTTATCAGTAAAACGAGTGACATGATGACCATTCCTTTTGCACCATCAGAATATAGCTGTAGTAATCGCAATATATTATACAGTATTCACAGTGTAAATCAAGTATCAGTAGTCAAAAGATTACACTTTTCCACGACGGGATTTGAAAGCTGGCAGCAACTCAAGAACGAAGGGGTCATATTTTAATTTCCTGTAGTGATCGTTATGTTTATCAGTGTCTTTTTCAGGAACACAAATTGGGTGCTGATACGCCATTGATGATGATATGATTTTAAGCCAAAAAAAACGTTGGTGTTTTTCAAAGTTGTGCTGATGAATTTAAATGGGTCAGATCGATTGTACTACCCTTTAAGTATATTAGATACACGGCATATTTTCAGATATGCTCTATCAGGCTATGCAAAACTATGTGAATCGTAATCACGTGCTTTCAAAAAATGAAAATCATGATTCCATCTATCTACAGTTGGAGTCATTGTAAATGAGAAACTGGTTCAAGCCATTTAGGTAGACGCCACTTATTAAATTATGCCATCATTTACTGCTTCTCATATTTTACCAATACACCGCATGCTCCAATAGAACACTGTAGCGATAGTCAAATTCATAAAGCATCACTTTGAGTAATTCATTTTCCAAATCCTCTGGCGATGCAGTTCACGCTGTTCATATCGTTCATGCAGCCCAGCTGCTGCTGTAATGCGGTGGAGAATTTCTTCCAAGTATGTTGGTCGCTGCTTTGCTTTTTCTCAAGTAGCCGTCGCCCATCCGATGCTCGAACTTGGTAGAAGATATTCTCCATGTCTGGCCATTCTTGCTCTGTTCTTCTGGGATGAAATTCATTCCGCCAATCGTTCGACGTGCAGCCTTTGCACTGGACCTTTCCATCGAATCTGTCCCATGCCACGTAGCCGTGACAACGACTGCGTAGCATTACCATTATGGCCAAAAACCACCAGTAGTACATATGCATCGTCTGAGCCGAGATTCCGTGTGTGAAGTCAACGGTGTACGTGCAAAGAACTCGTCGATGATTTTCAATTCATCGCTTATATACCGCCACAGCAAATGCATTCCAAACTTTCAGCTCTGTGACATTTTCAACAACAAGTTCCCCTGTTAGCTAAGTTGCTGAAAAAGTTAGCTCTAATGATAAGCTTTCTCGTTAGGCGAGGTACAAGACTTGCATTGAGCAGACAATTTGCGAGGCAAATTAGCTATGGAATTTCATACATCTTCCATAATTTGCCACTGCTCAAAAAATTGTTCAAAATAAGTTTTCAGAAAATTAGACGAATTCAGGTTGATTAAGGCTGATTTTAATTATACGACATTTTGTTGTTGATGACAATCACAGTAATGGCAGTTATCGTATTCAAGCAGTGAACATGTTTCCCGGAGTAAAACAACTAGCATTTTCGTTCTACGCACGATCATTTCTTGTCGAAACCGCTCTCAGAAGTCTATGATTAGACTTACAATGGCGTAACGATCATTAAAATTCATTTTTAGTTGCTTTTGACAGTCATTATACCATAGAACTAAGGAGTATTTAAGAGGTTGTAGACATGAAATTCTTCATCGATCAAGTTTCGGTCTAAACGAATACCTTTCTCGATTAAATCTGCCATTGCTCATGCTTAGCTATTTACCTTCTTGCTGCTTTTCTCCATGGTATGAAACGAATGTATCACACTGAAGTCAATCAACGTTGGTTTAAGTTGAGCGGGCGAAAATCGCCCAAACCGGAACTGACCATTAAATAAACGATAAACGGTGTTTTTCAACTGCAGGCTACAAATATTTTCGTCGTAACAGCCAGCTGGATTTTCTCCTTAAAAGTTCACACTTGAGCAAGGTTGACAAAGATCGTTTTAAAATGACAATGAGGATCTGTTTCAAGTAGAATGTAGATTTCTGAAAGGATGAGAACTGAGTACATATTGGAGTGCTTTTCTGGCAAGCCACATAATGAACAGAATCTGTTAACGTTCATTTTTAAACAATGCCTTTGCACATCCTTTCGTATCTGAAACAAGATAATACATGGCGACGGAAACAAGAGAAAATAGAACAGTTTTATTGAATCTAATGAGGATTCGGGTTTCAATAAATCACGTGCAACAAGCATGATATATTATTCGTTCATGATGCATCGAGATTTTAGGCCTGTATTTCATCACATCACTTCGCTTCAGTTCAATTTACATGACAATTTTCTTTTCTGCTCGCGTCAGACAGTGCCTCCAGAGTCTGAACGTTGGCAAAAAGGAACCAAAAATTAGGGCCGACTCTTTCAATACACTTCCAAGGTTAATTTTGGTCGTCTTCTGGGTAATCTGTCGGTCGACTGGGCAAGAAATAGCTGTTTCGCCTTCCTTTCCGGAAGCATTCACAACACGTTTCCAAAGCACCGGAATCCTGTACTCCGGACCATGTCGAGACACGTAAGGGCAGCGATTTGACTCAGGAAACCCGCTGCAGCCGTCTTTACCCGC